AAAAAAAAAAAAACGTCACCGACGGCACGCCGCCCCCCCCCCACCCGAACGCGCCCGCAGGCGCACTGCCGCTGCGCAGCACGTGCACTGGCGCCGTGCCGTCGACCGCCACTTCCCCCGAGTCCTCCTGCAGCCACGCCCCCACCGTGCACCGCCGCACCCGCCGCAGCCGCAGGGCGCGCACATCACGCGGGACAACATGCGAAGTGACGCTGCCTCCCGCAGGCGTCGTGCAGCCTTCCTTTTTTTTGGCTCGGCGCGACTGTCTGCGCCTCCGTGGCGGCGACGGACGAACCCCTCGCGGCCGCACTCCCTTCTCACACACACAGACACAGAGAAGTGTAGGGGCGAGTTGCAAAAGAGAGCCCCGCACACACGCCGCAGCAGGCGGCACGGCGCAGGCGAAGTGCGACGCCCCCGTCCTGCGAGGGAGAAGACACGTGGAGGAGAAGCCAGCGGCACGGCGCACGCCCGACAAGGCACGCAGCGAGAGGGACGGGGCGGGTCCAACGTCCGCCGCACAGCCTGCCGCTCCTCTGCCGCAGCGGACAACAAAAAGAAAGAGCCGCCGCCGCAAACTAAAGCTGCCTCTAGCGGGAAGGAGGAGGAGGAAATGGGGGCGTGTCGGCGGCACAGCCAGCGGCGGCAGTGGGAAAACAAGACGCGGAGACACGCAGCGACAACAGCGGCGGACACGGCGCACAAACTCAGCGTGAGCCGCAGTGAGTTGCCCCAACTAAAAATATTAAAACAAAAAGAAAAGAAGCGGAAACCCCCAACGCCCCTCGTAAAATTAAAGAAAAATAAGTTAGTTCCGCAGGTTGTTTTACTTCACGTGTCCAGCAGCACAAGAGGACCGTGAGGGAGTGTGTGTGTATAGTTTACTACCTGCACGAATAAAAAAACGAAACAATTGCCCCGGTCGCACATGCACACATCAAGTTTGCACCTCACGGTGGCCGCGGCCTTGTGCCTCACTTCGGCACTCCGTGCGGCTCACAGCAATACGGCCGGCACCGAGTGTGTGTGTGTGTGTGTGCGTGTGGTGGCAGCAAACAGGAGGGGGAAAAGGGTGCGCCGCCCATGGGAACGTGCATAGGGTGGCGAAGCAAGTAAAAAGAAAAAGAAAACATCCCTCAGAGCACAGGAGGGAGAGAAGGATTGACCCACAGGGACGGCAAGCAAAATGAAGGAAAGAAAAAAAGCACACTTAAATGAAGAGACCCGCATGGGTCGCAGCGCACACCTCTCACCATGCGGAATCACAATTCCACACTCCTTCGCTCAGAAGCCTGCCGCGACGCCAAAAAGCGCCAGAAGAGTCAGCAGCGTTGGCCAAGACACACACCCACGCACAGCGACGTCGCTCTCTGTGTTCATCGGGAACAGCCCTGTGGTGTTCATGAAGGCGGCGAAGTTGTTGCTTAAGTGCGGTGCTGCGTCGCGTGTTGGCGGGGTGCCTGGCTGCTGCCCAGGCGCCGGAGCCGTGGGTGCCGTGGCGGCGTTGCTGGGTGCGTCGTGGCTGCCGTCCGCGTCCGCCGCAGTTTGGGGGCCTGCGCCATTTTCCTTGGCGGCAGCGTTTGGCGTCTCGCCGGTGGGCGCGGCGGAAGCAGACGGCACGCCGCCAACGTTCTCTGGCTCGTGCGACGGAGTGCCCTGCTGTGCCTGGCCGTCAGCCACCGAGGCCGCCGTGACTGCACCGTCTGCGGGGGTCGAGGTCCCTCGTTGCCGCTCTGAAGTTTCCGCACCGACGGCCTGCTCAGCTGCGCCTGTGCGAGGAGCACTGGGCGCATCCGGTGCTGCCGACGGTGGGGGCGCCAATGCACCGTCACTGCCTTCTGTCTTTTCTTCCTCCTCCTCCACCTTCTTTTCTTTTTTGTACTCCGCCTTTTCGTTTTCCTCTGCGTCGGAGTTGGGCATGCTGTTAGAAGGTGCTGACGCCTCGCCTGCCTCTCTGTCTGCATCCTGCGACAACTGAGGTCGCGGATCTTTTTCCCCCCTTTGTTGGTGTTGTTCCTCCGACGCGCTGAGGAGGGAGTCCCCAGCGGGCTCTGAAGCGACCTTCACGTCGCTACTCGGCGGCGCTGTCTCCGGCTCCGGCGCTTCCGCAGGGGCCGTTCTCCTCCACTCCTTCTCCGTGCCGTCCCATTCAACCGCTGGGGTCACGCCGCTGCCGGTGGCGGATATCGTGCACACCTCACTGTACTCGGGGCACATCACCTTGTCAGTGTCGAAGGGCGGAATATTCCACGTAATCAACCCGGGCGTGCACGACATC